CAATGCAGGCTCAGCTGCTGGCTTACCATAATATTTGTCAGATTTTTTCAGCGGCATTTGGTATTATTCATCTATCAATTCAATGGGAGATTTTCTTTCATTTTCGTTTGTCATATTTCTTTACTGAAGTGTTTTCATATGTCTGCAGTGGCAGCATGAGGACAAAGAGACCTAGTAGACATGCTAATCACCATTCTCGCCGCAAGCCCAAACGAGGTCATCCAGACAAGTAAAAAGTGCCATGACTTTTGTTTTCAGGAAACTTTTGAGGTATGTGTGAGTTCTGAAAAAAGGCATTTTGATGGCGGATATCATTTATTTAGCTTACAACCGGTCTAAAGTGGCACATGGCCATAGGTTACTTGAACCCACTCTCTCCAAGTTAGGCAGGAAAGTGACCACCTTCATTGACAACTGTGAATACAAATTAGCGGTTGTGAAATTGAGGATATATGTACAGTTTATTTGATTATGTTTCAAATGTTTAAATTATAATTAAGTTTTACAAATAACTAATACCTAGTAATTGAATGAAAATAAAACAAGTTTGAATAAAAAAAAGAATGTTAGAATAATTGTTTAGAACTTTTCCCTTCTCACCACTACCCACCCAAAACCAACACCTCCACCTGCTAGTTGACAGACTGAAGATGTGTACTTTCCTGTCCGATTCCATTTTCTTCACTTTTGGTAGGCAGATCAAGATTGGAAGTTTCTTGTGCTAAATGAATACTTTTTTTTATTTGCTGCAGATAGGACTTGAGAGGGTTTTACACGGGCTTCTGGGGTTTTTATTGGTCACACGACGTTAACAAACTCGCAAGCTGTATGTTTTTGAAGCTCTTGCATTGTTTTCTTTCAGTCTGTGAAGAAAACTCTAGAACAATTTTTCACACTACACAGTAGACAGTCTGAGAAGTTTAGAAATGTTCATGTACTAAGAGCAGCGTCTGTTTCTTTTGTATTCATAGGTGTGTAATTTAATTGATAATTTTTATAAATCAACACCTCAATATTGTGTCTGTTCTTATTTTTGCTTTCACTTTTCTGTTGGTGATGTCTACCTGAACTTGAATTTACAAATGTGCATCATGAAGGTTGATGTTTCAAATGGTTTCCAACCAGCATAAACTGGATGATGTTTGTTTGTCGATTAAAGGATTTTGGGGTGGTTGAGATTTCTTTTCGGTGTAGAAGGGAAATCTGGAGAGTTTGAACTATTGGTTCATGACTTACGAATCTTAAATGAGTTGGAGAAAGTGTACACAGGTTGTGTCCATCGAGCAATAGAGGCGAGAGTTTAGGTGTTGTTTTAAGCCAAATCTCGATAATCTAAAGAATGTTTTAGGAGAGTGGTTTTTGGAGTCAATTTATATACTGTATAAGTTGTTCATACTTCATTAACCCTCATGAATAAATTCAATTTAAGCGTAAAATTCACCTAGAAATTTAGACTTAATGTGCTGAAAGGAATTACTTCAACTTCTTCACAAATTGTTTGAAATATTGCTAAAATATTTTAAGATTTCGACAACAATTTACTTGCTGATACCTTGATAGGATTTGATGTTCAAATGAAATGAATGTTGGGATTGGGTCAATTGCGATTCTCTCAGCTAAAGGACGGGCTGATTATTTCTAAAAACCGACAAATATATACGACTGGACGTTCTTTTTTCCGGTTTAGCACGCACTGCAAAGGAAAGAGACAGAAATATTAACTTTATGGGTCAAAGTGACCCAGCGTAGCAGCCTAGTGGTGGTCTTATATGTTATTTGTATGTTTTTAGTTTCTGTTATATATGTATATATATATTTTTTTTTAATTATTTCATCATCAAAAATGCTTATTTTATAGAATGAGTTGGACATATTCTAGAAGCTGAAGTGTTTTCATTTCATTGGACTATTTTGTTTTACCTTCTAGTATATAATCATCCTCTCGAATGTAAAACATTTTCAAGATCAATAAAGTTTTTTCTTTGTTTTTCTTCATTGATCAATTACTTTTCTTTAAGCTGTTTACAACTTGTACATGGTATCAAAGCCACAATTCTTTTTTTTTTTTCCTTCTACCCGTTTTTCTTTTCTCTTGAGATATGGATGGAGAAGAAGGCATCGTTGCAAGGGTCACACAAACCCTTACTAATGAAAATCATTAATGATACATGGGTCTAATAATTCAGGAATATCTTTGGTCACAACTCCTCTTACGGTAAGTAATTATCTAACATGAAGTACTGCTGTTAACATCTCATTAGAAGGTAAGAATAAGATTGGTTTCATTTATGGAGAAATTCAAAAACCAGATCCAACAAGCAACAATTGTGCTCAATGGAAGAGAGTAGATGTCATGGTAAAATCTTGCATTCTTGGCTCCATTTTAAAGGATCTTGTGGATTCTTTTATTTACTACTTTAATGCTCAAGATTTATGGAGCGAGATTGAGCTAATGTATAAGATTTTTAATAGGTCTCTTTTATATCAAATCCAAAGAGATATTGTTTCAATGGAACAAGGCAACAATTCCGTTACTATGTATTACAACAAGATGAAGAAGAATTGGGATGAACTGAATCGATTTACTAGCATGTAAAAATAATAAGACTTATTCTTTTGTCATTTTTTATTTTTTTGTTGCCCTGCATTAAGTAAAGTAAAAGTCAATTATCCCCTTTTTATTATTTAAATCATTTTAATTATTGAATTAAATTAAAAAAAAAAAATCAAGTCATTTTCTTTTTTATCAAAGCTCGGGTTATGGAAGAAGGAGAAGAAGGTATCAGCAACAACTGGTTTTATTGCAGGACAGCTCATGATGTTCATATCGATCTATTATGTGCCTCTGCATTTAGCATTGGGTAGACCTCATACAATAACTGTCCTAGTTCTACCGTATTTTTTGTTTCATTTCTTCTGGAACAATCACAAACACTTTTTTGATTATGGATCTACTATCAGAAATTCAATGCGTAATCTTCGCATTCAATGTGTATTCCTGAATAATCTCAATTTTCAATTATTCAACCATTTCATTTTACCAAGTTCAATGTTAGCCAGATTAGTCAATATTTATATGTTTCGATACAACAACAAGATGTTATTCGTAACAAATAGTTTTGTTGGTTGGTTAATTGGGCACATTTTATTCATGAACTGAATCAATTAACTCCGATTCCAGTATGCTCTTGTCAAGGGTGCTCCTGTGACATTACAAAGAGGTAGAATGTGATGAATTCCTCTAGCAAACTTATTTAATTCTTAAATGAGTCTCAACTCTTCATATGAAGG